ATTGGTAATGTGTGTGGAGATTAACAAAATGATGGACAAGTTTCATATTTTAACAATTCACCATTTCACGTATTAAAAATTAAAATATATGAAAAATTAAGTATAATACTTTATATTTCACATAATTACATTGCGTAGACTAGCTAACTAAATGAAAGTAAAGCCAAAATATTTCCATCACTTAGTATACACAGATACAGATAAAGTATCGAAAGTAGACAAATATACTATTTAAATATAGCCTAAAAATACTAAGTATTATTCAATGAACTATGTTTATTCTGAAAAGAAGTATGTATAAACAAGAAAATTTCAAACTAGATTCATCTGGCTCTTCATGTTTTATAGGTGTAAATAGTAAATACTTTTTAACGTCGAAATAGCAATATGTAGGTTAAGAAATCGTTATGTATTATCTAATTAGTAGACATTATATTATCTGTATTGAAAAAAAAACACTTAATTTATATATCGAAGACGGTTTCATTCTGACAAATTAAGAGTCATACGTTTCTTTTACATTGTATGTATACTTGTATGGATTTTACCGTTATTCATTATGCTATTGAAAATTTAATTGTTCAACAAAAATGGTATAGCAAGTGTATACTGGAACATGACAAACGGACACACGTGCCGTGAGTTGAACGACCCGCGATAAGCCGCGCGAAAATACGCGAGTTAGATAATATTAGAAAGAAAATGGCGGGCGCGACCACACTAAATAAAATAAACTTGACATTTACATTACAATGTATTATTAACGGAACTAAACCTGCACTTTACTACATACCACTTGCTTTAGAATTTCTCTTAGGCGATTTACTTCTCTTTAAAAGATAAAATAACTGATTAAAGTCACACAAATAACCAAGTTACTAAGCATACATGCATTGGAGATAAAATTACTGTATTTTTATTTCCATGCCTACCAAGGTACCTAGTATATATTTTACTAGCGACTCACCCTCGCTTCACTCGAATTCGTCTCTAGGTCGTTTCCCCATACAAATTTTCGTCCCCATTTTCACCTCCTTAAGGGATTCCGGGATAAAAATATCTATCCTATGTCCTTTCCGGGGTCTTAAACTATCTTCTTACCAAATTTCATATAATCGGTTCAGTAGTTTCGGAGCTTATTAGGTACAAATAAACAAACAAACAGAAAAATCTTTTCTCTTTATAATATTAGAATAGATAATAATATTTTGAATACTTTAATGTTAATAGATTTAGTACCTAATTTTATCTCAATCAAGATCGCACCGTAATAGAACTTGTGATTGCAAAACGTCACGGTAATCTATACTAATTTTATAAAGAGGTAAAGTTTGTGAGTCTGTGACTTTGTAGGGGGTAATCTCTGGATCTACTGAACCGATTTAGATGAAATTTGGTAAGAAGATAGTTTGAGATCCTGGGAAGGACATAGGATACTTTTGATCCCGGATATCATCCCTAAAGGGGGTGAAAATCGGAATGAAAGTTTTTATGGGGAATCAAGCTAGGGAAGAACCCGAGCGAAACGAGGGTGAGTCGCTAGTGTAATGTTATATATAAACATTACCGTGACAATATCTATCTATGTTATAAATTTGTATAAAATTTTATATAATAATAACTGTCACTCTAATTTGTCTCATTAAGTTAGTCGAAAATATTTTAATACGTCCGTGTTTAAAATAAATTTGCAATTATTTCAGTTACTTTTTATCGTTTCCGTGTGATGTAATTGAATTGTAATTAGCGAATTTCAAAGATCGAATCAAACTAGTCAGCGATTTTACGATTTTCCGTCGGACCAATATAGCTTTTTATTGAAATAGCTATGTGGTGGGATTTTATACTGCTTCCACGAAGTTTCATACCTAGGAATAGAAAAAAAAATTAAAAAACATAAAACACTTTTATTATTTTTTAAATAATAAAAAGAGTTAATTTTACAATACTAATTTTAGTCATTGAATAAATTATATTTGTAATTGGCAACAATTATCATTTTAGTTCCATTGACATTAATTCAGTTACATAAGTTATACTACAGATAAATAATAATATCTATTGTTTAGTTATCTGACTGGTGCAGCGTTCATGTTGTTCATAATAAATTATTTAAAGACACTTTTAAATTCAACGACACGTTTGGCTCAGTGTGTAGTGACCCTACTTGCTGTGCCAGCGGTCGCGGGTTCGAGTCTCGCTGGGGGCATTCATTGTGTGATGAGCACGAATGTTTGTACTCCAGTCATGGGTGTTTATATTTATAATATGTATGTATTTAAAGTTTATATATGGGTAGTGTATCTACTATCTGGTATCCATAACACAAGCTTCGTAGCTTACCATGGAACCAGATGGTGCTGTGTGTTAATGTCCCAACATATTTATTTATTTTAATGTGTTATATTAAAATTACCTCGTAATATTTTAACAACGACATATAATTTTCAAAATTGGGTGAGAAATACATAATTTTGTCTATGTACTTTATACGAATGTGTGTTTAAAATGAAACTTGTAGCATGTAGAGGAAAACACAAGCGAGTGGCCGCCGCCATCGGGGTCAAGGCGACTTGACGCAACCACTTATCTATTCAGCTCTTATCAAACGGATTTTTAACTGATAGATTGTTCTATATGTTGAGACATAGTCCACGCTACGTGAAACAAAAATATATTTACCAGCCAAATGTATTATTTTCCTGTTTTTGACCGACTTTAACCTTAAATCAAAACGGATCACCTATTATGTTTTTTGTGTCTAATTTTAGCGATATCTTCTCAATCGATTTTATTGCTTCCTTTTATAATGTATCTATAAGAATACATATAAATATTAAAAATAAATTTCATTGGTATTTTTTTATTTACATTTAAAGTCATTTTGAAATTGGAATGGTATAGATCTTTATTTAAAGGCCACTCGCATAAAATTGTTAATCTCTTCAGAAATTAATTATATTGTTCGTCATTTGCTAAAATTAATTAAGACATTTTATTGTCTCATGCAGTGTAAATATGATTTTTATTATCTAAATTGAAAATTAAATTAAAAATATTAAAAAGGCTTATTAACTTTTTGCTAGCGAAAAAACAAAAAATAAATTCGACCTGGTCATGGACCAGTTTTTTTTTTAAATATGTATTGCCTTAAATTCCCCACAAATATCTTTGTGCAAATCAAAAGCTACCTACGTAGCGTTTAAGATTTTGTTATTATTGAAGATTAACAAGAATTATTCCGTCTGTCTGTGTTGCAGTCGTAAATCAAATAATTGTTTATACGTTGTGTTTCGCAAAATTAATTTCGAACACCTAATGTATTCGGAATGTTGGCTGGTTTGGTGTGAAACATATTTTTTTGAATAAAATTAGTAACTATACTATATTTATAATAAAATTGTAACAGCCGAATCTGTACATTAGATATTTTTTGGAAAACCTTATTGAAATAGACATTATTATCGATACAGAGGCTGAATCTATAGTTTTTAGAATTTTTTCTGTCTGTCTGTTACCGCATCACGGAAAAACCACTGGAGGGATTTTGATGAAATTTGGTATGGTGATAGCTATATAGGTTATCCGGGTCAACATATAGGATACATTTTACCGCGGGAAATATATCATTTCTGAGAAAAAATACAAGAACTGCATTGTAAGAGTATACTAATATGAAAAACCTGAGTATTTGGTTTTTAGTCATCTAAACGCGGACGGAGCCGCGGGCAATGCTAGTTTTAAATAAAATTAATATTAGAAAAAGTTCCGTTGAGGGAAGAAACAATAAAATTTAAAAAATAAAATGTATTTAAGCTGCATGCAATTTCATATTTATTTCTTTTATTTCTTGGAATATAAAATCAATACAAATCATTTCAGTAAATACGCCTCAATAGGTTTTAGCTGAGTTCTAGTAAATAAACAATGCACATGTAATACCAGTATGATACATATTATTATTTATATAATTCTTAGGCTATTTATTATTATGAAACTAATTCAAGAGAAACAAATATTGTAAATAGTCGTTATAGTGGGAATAATGAATCATTATTTTATAATCTCTTATTGTAATATTGAATGGTACCTATTTATAATTATATATACGTATAATAAAATTCTAACTGAATCGAATCTGTACATTGAACATTTTTTGGAAAATCTTATTGAAATAGACTCTATTATCGATACAGAGGCCGAATCTATAGTTTTTAGAATTTTTGTTAATCTGTCTGTCTGAGAATATCACGAGAAAACCACTGAACAGATTTTGATGTGGTATAATGATAGCTGGCTACCTGGGTCTCATCTCTGTGAAATCTATACTAACCGTTAAAACATATATTTATAAGTTCAAATATTAATTTGCAATTATTTTTATTTCTTGTTTAGTAAATGTCATTGTAGAAAATCTACATTGCTTTGGAGATTAAGATGGTAGAGAGGACACACAGACTGACAATTGTATTATAAATAAAATATGTAGTGATAATTAATAATAGAACGAGGCCGTGTTATATTTTGCCTACGCTATAAGAAAAATGGCAAATTAAAGATTAGATAATGTAGCGTTTGAATATTGTTTTGGTTGAAAATATTAAAATAGTAATGATTTGCCACTTATTAACAATTATGTATTGAGCGATCGTACATTCGCCAGATATTAAGTAACGATTTCAGCTGAATTTCGTGTAAAAAAACATTTAACATACAGGAAGTTACACACGTCGATCGACTAACCCAGTTCGGAATTGCGGCACTCGACTCCAGTAACCGGTTCATAGATTGTTAACATTAGACTGTCTTGTTGCGAGAATTTAAGTAACTTCCTATAGTCCTTGCGGCGGACATATATGAAATTCATTTACATAAAACACCTGTAACTATGTGGTCCGATTAGTACTTGCGCAGCAAAACCGAATCGATTAAGTTGTAAAAGCCCTTTTTGTTTAATAGTATAAACGTTATTATTAACATTTATTTTTCTTTATTTTCAGTTGGCACAGTGGAACGCGATTCATACTACGGTGGGTACGGCGGTAATCACCACTTCGCCGCGCCCGCACCCCCTCCACTACCCCATGACGATCTCCCATATTCGGTCTTCGACTTCGGAGACTATCAGAGGCACAGCCACCACAACAAACTCAAGCCCAAAAAGAGACCCCGAACTGACGCGCCCCCAACTCCTGGAGTGAAACGCAAGAGCCGAGAAGGCTCTACAACCTACTTATGGGAGTTCCTTCTCAAACTCCTCCAAGACAGGGAGTACTGCCCACGCTATATCAAGTGGACAAATCGTGAGAAGGGAGTGTTTAAACTCGTCGATTCCAAAGCCGTCTCCAGGCTCTGGGGGCTCCACAAAAACAAGCCGGACATGAACTATGAGACCATGGGCCGCGCCCTCCGCTACTACTACCAGAGGGGCATCCTCGCCAAAGTGGACGGCCAGAGGCTCGTGTACCAATTCGTAGACGTTCCGAAAGATATCGTCGAGATCGACTGTTCGCTCGCGTAGAGTGCAGTGTAGTCAGGCCCCCGGGAAAGGGGCCTCGAATCTCGTTGGACTTTCTGTAGAGTTATTTTCGCTCTTTCATACGTTTTTCAGATTCTATTCATCATGCATTATTTCCCGCTTCTCTTATCAAATTAAATATTTATACAGAATAGAGACGAAATTGATTGCTCAAATGTTTATATATACCTATTTTTAGGGGAAATTTCAGAAAGGAACTATTTGCTAGATGTTATACGGTACGGAGTGAACTTTTGTATATTGTAAACGAATTTTTAAAGTTTGTAACGTTTCTACGTATGTTGACTTGACTGCACTAAATCAGAACTTCCTACCTCAAAACTACGCAAAACTATTACATATATTGAATATACAATTTATTGGAAAAAGCAGTTTTACATGCAATAAGATATAGTGTAATAAGAGTTTTTATTAAAAAAAAAGTATTTACGTATAAATGTTTATATTATAATGACAAAAATATAACGCCCTCAGATATAATTATGTATTGCCTGTTTGGTGCTTTATGGCCATTTGCATAGTAATATTTACCTTGTTGAAACAAATCTGAATAATATTCTATGTATAGATTCAGTTATCGGTCCTAGCTGTTGTTCCTTTGTTGCGGCCGACCTGGTTGGTCTTCGGGGCGGGCGGGTGAAAGAGAACTAGTGATGCGATGACGAATGATTCGCATTGAGTGTACCACACGATGTGAAAGTAAATAAGTGTTGTTCCCAAATTTACTTACACGTATCGATTATTGTAATGTAATCAATAGTATCATTCGTATTGACATAGTAAATAAACAGATTTAATTAGTCAAAATTATATTTACAAACAATAAAACGTGGAACAAAAGTACAAGTTAGTTGAAATATATAACAAAACCCTCTCCGCACGAGGAAACCAAGTCGGCCTTCTGAGTTCTATATTTTCGTCTTTGATTGAAACCGAATTTTCAATTGATATTATTAAGGTTCATGTACTGAAACCAACTGCCAACTTTCTGTTAGAGAACTAAATAAATAGATAAGGTATGAATTTTTGTGCGTTAATTGTGTTTATTAATAGATGTTTACTATAAGTGAGCTGTTTTAAGTGGACATGTTCTAGTTTATTTCGTTTATTTAAATTTTACTATAAGCCTGTTGGGGGGTCTCGAGCTCGCATTCACATATCAACGTTTAACTTTTCTATATATGTATATATATACAATTGTATCAACAACACAATCAATCATCCTGGATTCGTTTACAGCATATCAGAATTACGTGTATGTATACAACACAACAAATAAGCGCGAGGCCCCCATTTTTTGTTACCTGAGTAAATATTATTAATAATTAATTACGATTTGTGGTCCAATGTTAATGAATCATACTTTTAACTAGATAGTCGTTAAAAGGTCAGGTTAAGCTAGCCTAGTTCCCGTTGAGTTTACTACAGCTACAGATTATATATACTCGGTTGGTAGAGGAGTTGACAGGGGCGTCCAATGTCCATAGCGAAGCGCGCAGGCCCTCATTCATACTTATAATTCCGATTTGCAATATTTTTATATAAAAATTAAATATCGATTTATTAGCGATTAAGACACTATATGTATCGGTCTGTGCGTTTCGTCACGTAACTGAAAAGGGTTAGTGAAGCCTTAAGAGAATCGAATGTAAAGAAAATGGGTGCTACGTGTGGGACCGACTTAACGCGGAAGTGAACCGAAACACAGCTTACATACAAACATACGCATATATACCGATTCGTATATCTCGTCACTACTTGTCCCAGTGTTGTGTTTCGACTCGGTAAGAACGATCTCAGTGTCCAAACTCTGAACAAATCCAGTGCCCGTTTCATGTGATTTAAAGTTTATATTAAAAAATAAAGTTTTAATCGTATTTTTATATAGGTAGGTGAAATTCTCAAAGCGATTTTCTTTTCTATTTCTTGCTTTTGTAAATATTACTATAGGTTTTAACTTATTTATTTCGTCTTGGAACGTTTGCCGAGTCCGCGAATCGTATGATAAATTTTTATTATAAATGAATTAGCTAAATTATTATTACTACAAATTCCAGAGACGTATAATAATTGAATCGTTTATTGAATGTTTAGTCGATTGCGCGGATCTCGCGACCGTTAACTTTTCCTTTTTAGGAAATTTCGTTCTTTAGGTTACAAATTTTATTGTAATATATATAATTATATATAATAAAAAGTAATAGGTAGTAGTAATGAAAGGACCACGTGATGGCAGGGGAGCGCTCTCAGAATTTATAATTCGGCTAGTGTGAAATGATAGAGTTACCGGTTAGTAGGCAAAATGTTTGAGCAAACATTTAAAAACGATGCTCGAAATTTAAAAATAATTTTAGTCGAATTGATGTTGTTACGAAATCAAAGTTTCTAATTAATAATGTACTTAAAAAAAATCAATGTAAATTTTTAACAGCACCTTGTGGAAATTATTGTTAAAATTATTTTAATTGAGCCTAGTCTTAGTATCATAAAATTCGTTTTTAAATTATTTCGAACGCCATTTCGGTGTACGGCGTGTAGCCGCAAGATGGCCGCTGATTCTTCCATCTGTTTCTGGTATCATTACAATTAAAGCAATTACAAAAATATTTACTGAAAAAATTATTATAATATACATACATTTTAATCTATTTGAAGAAATTATTAAAATATACATTTTAGCACATGTCTTGTTAATTTAAATTTAAAATATACATATTGATGTTTACGAATGATGCTAGAACTTAATGAAGAGTCAGCTAACACGGTTTTGAGAAAATTGTAAATAATGTTTTAAAGTCAAACGCACACCCTCATGACCCATGCGAGACTATGGCGTCGCTAGATAGGTGAAATATGAAAATATTTTGCGCGAAAGCAATGAAAGGTTAGTGAATTCGGTGATAGGGGGAGGGCGGTGTTCGGAGGCAACACGTTTTGTCTACTACATATTGCAATGTATTCTACTACTAGGTAAAGTCCAATCATTGAATACGTAATTATTGAAAGCCTGTGGATTGTTTTCTTTGGTTTTTATTCGCTTAATCGAAATTTAGCTTCAGCGTTCAACGTTTCCAAAATATTTTAGTTCTGAGAGTCATGTGCGGTAGTGATTTTTGCGTTACACTTGCTTTTAGATTTATGCAAAGTCCGATTATTTTTAATTATAATTTTAGTTGTTTAATTTAACAAAATACTGTATTTTCTGCCCCCTAGTTAAGTTATTTTTCTATGTATAGCTAGTTATAAGTGTAAATGATTTAGCATATAAATTTGATGCATGATGATAATGTTAATAAAATATCCACAATAAAATACAAATGTCTCTTTTCTTGAACCCGAAGACCCCGATTGAATTATACATATCTTAAAACTATAAGATTATTTACATATCCTAATTCTCGTCGTGAAATACATAATTCTAACTTAATGAATAGCATATAAAAGATATGAAATAAAAAAATGACTAGATAGGTATAAAAAATACAAAATAATATGTACTTATTATATACCTATATTGATTATTATTATCGGAGTAATATTTAAAATTGTATACCTTTAATTAATGTCGGGGCGTGTTGTGACATTATAGTATTATCTATTGGATGACTATTAGTAAATACTTATATAAATTAACTAGCAGAACCCGCAGCTTCGCTCGCGCTAAAACACAATAATGTATCATCATTAATTGCTACGGCGACCATAAAACATGCGTGATGTCATAATGAGGTATATCTTTGATCGACACCTACTTCGTAATAAGCCGATGCAAAGCAAATCTAATACATTTCGATACGTAAAATATATCACAAATTGATGTGTAATATTATAACTATATTTAGAGTTCATACCTAGTCATACTTACGTACATATTAGATATTCATAAAATATCATTCATAAAATATTGTCGGCTGGCACCGACTTTGAAAATATCTGATTAGGTATCTATTCTAAATGAAAACCACCATTTAGTTATTTTTTACATTTTAACTACGAATAAATATGTGCCTGGAAGTCGGTTTCTTTTTTTTAAGTTTTTATTTTTCCATTTTAGTGTAGACGTAATAAGCAGATAATTTGTAAGAAGGAAGTTTTTAATAACATATTTGATTAAGCAATTTTTTTAAAAAAAAATTATTTGTCGATTTTTTTAAAAACCGCTCGACCGATTTCGATAAAATTTTAATGGGGCCGCCTGGGAAATATACCCTTCAAAACAAAAAAAAATCCAAACGTTAGAGTAATCGGTGAACATACATTAAAAAAGATTTCGACGATTTGAGAATCTCCTCCTTTTTGGGAATCGGTTAAAAAGAATAGAAAGAATATAACAACGCCTTTAACAACGCCTCAACATCCATTTTTGATTAAACTTGTGTGTGTGTGTGTGTGTGTGTGTGACACATAAAGGAAATTACTTAATTTATTTAAAGAAATAAATAAATAGAAAGCATTTAGAAGTTCGAATGTAAGCTTAAATATTTGAATTATAACAAATATGATATTCCATAGATTATTATTACTATTAGTATAAATAATTTTAACGCCAATAATTATTATAAAGATAAAATCGAAGAAATAAAATGAAGTTATTTTAAATATTTTGAAAAACGTAAATACCTAATAAATACAATATTTTACTAATTTCTTAACATAACACCAACTGTAAGGTAATAAAAACTTAAAATTACCCGTAAATCGGGGAAATATTTAGTCAAATGGTAAGGTCACGCGCACTTTTGATACGTTTTCGTCCGAATTTTACTCGTGCGAGCACGTACGAACACGCACTAATGATCCGCACCTTTCAAGTACTATGGACTTTTATTTGTCATCCATGCTATGGACTCATGGAGGCGCGCAGATTGCGTGCGAGTTAGTCGTACGTATACGTGCGTGTAGTTCCGACGTCCGAATACAGTCCGAACTTGTTGGGATTAAAATACGCTTTTGTGCGTTAAAAATAAAAATGGGTGTAGAAAAATGTATAAACTTAGTTTATGAACATAAATGTTTGTTTCTTCATACGTGCATAACTATGAAACAGTACGTGGTCATTATATAAGTTTTCCATAATAAGATGGAATTCACCGAAATCACGTATTTTTAAATATATTTCACGCACCCATTCGGTTCTACGATAGCAAAGACGCCGCCGCAGTCTCAGAGTTATAAAAGAGAATTATCTTGAAAATACACATTATTCATCGCCCTCCAAAGAGGACTTCACGAGTACGATATTACCGGAAATCTACCCATTTGACGGAGAAAAATGTATTCAATGTGCGCACTTAATTCGTACGACCCTGTCTGACTAAGGCACTTTTTGGCTGTTTATCGATGCGTAAATGTTAGTAAAAATATTATAATTCAATTTTTGAGTATTTTATTAATTCAACATAAATAATTCCTATTTATAAAATAAAATGAACACGTAACTTAGCCATAGACAAGCTGACGTGTTGTATCACGTCAAGATGAACTGTCATTTTCCTTGACGTGTAAGTGCTAGTGTCAAGACTCAAGACCTGAGAATAATTTTCATTTTGTTTTCCCATTTGTGAATAATGAGAAGAAAAAAATAAGTGTATTATAAGATTCATTGAAAGTGATTTATATTGTTTTTAAGTTAAGGGACAAATAAAAAATAGCAAAATGGTTTTAATGACAATGATTGCCCGTGTTGTAGACGGGCTACCTTTGGCCGCTACAATGCAAGAAGATGAGCAGGTATCTTGTTTAAACATATGTTGCTTTATTATTTGGCAATGACCTATTCTACTTGATGTTTTTCTGCAACTGCATCTTTCTCACTATAAACTTTATCCTTTGTTACCCTTTCGTTCGATTTCCACACATTGATTTTAATTTTATACTTTTATTTGCCGGTGGTTTGCAGAGCGGCTGCAATATATTGGAGTATCAAAACCAAGCAAAAATGCTGTTTAGAAAATTAGGTCCTCAATCGCCAATCCGCTGTTCCATCGAAACTGGATCCCATCTCTTCCAGTGAGTTATGACTGCTTCTTATTTTTTTTTAATCTTTATTTTTCTTTTGTAGTTTTTGTACCTATCAGTTTCAAAGTAGATTTAAGCATAAAATTAAATATTTTATTAATATAATATAAGTTACTTTAAATTCATTTCAGCTATTTGATAGAGAATGAGATCTGCTACCTAGTTCTGTGTGAACGCAACTACAGTAAAAGACTTGCCTTCAGTTACTTAGAGGAAATTGCACAAGAATTTTATCAACAATACGGAAAGAGAGTAAGTACATTTCTAAATCACATGAATCAAATTATTACACAATTATTGCTCATTTATCTTCTTATTATTTAATATTATATTAATCATTAGTTGTATATAAAGTATGATTTTGATGACATCACTAATAAATTGATTTGTAAACATTCTGAAATTTCTAATTTCTGACCATGTGCTACTGCAACTGTATTACTATACAATTTGTGTAGTTAATAATTTGCTCGCTATTGAACCAAATTTTTAATTGTATTTTCTAAAAGAAAATAAAAACAAATCTTGACAAATTAGACATCCCCAGCATAATATGAAATGCTCTCTTAAGTTAATAACATACTTATAATATTTTTGAACCTTTTATTTGTTATAGAAACCTTTAATACACTATCTATTTACAAACTCTTTTATTGCTAAAATCAAAATTTGAAAAAACTTGCTTATACAGTTTAGAACTTACCATTATAGATCAATAATCCATAGCAGGGAACATGCGTGTGATTTAAATAAAGATGAAATATATATTTTTATAATATTTAATGCTTTTGAATTAAGTCTTTATTAATATTTTTTAATGTAATTTCTTTTTGATTAAGAAAATAATTATTAAAAAGTACAAATATAGGTGGGAAATCTAAGGTAGTTGAAACATACATTGGTCAGACCTATGACTTCAAAGTATTATCATAACAGAGCGATTCGCGATTTTGTCTGTACAAATTGAGTTGTCATTTTCCTGTGTATACCATAATGAGACGTCACGCCAAGCGCGCGAAATGGCGAACGTTTAAAGTGTCCGTATTGGTATGACATTTTTTTTATACTAAGTTTTAGGTTTTTGGAACTGATTTTTTGGTACTATTTTATATAACGTTAGTATGTGTGTATAGTTGTATAAAAAAAAAAACACGCATATTCCCTATTGAAAGGTGTACTAGTAGTTATTAAACATTTGCACCAAAACCTGTAGGTTCCACCGTCAGGTCAACTCAATGGTATTAAATTATGTACTCTATTGTGATCTAAATTTGACATTTATCTGATTTAAATATTCTAAATAATTTAAAATCAACTCCAAATTCAAATTCAAAATAATTTATTCAGCATTAAATTATTACAATTTTTTACTGAATGTCATGAGTCTACTACCAATTTGGAAAGAAGAAGCCTCATATCTGAGAAGAAGCGAAAGAAACTTTACAAAATGACTAAGTGAAGTCAATGATAGCAAGTTAGAAATAAATCCATATAATTTCCAGGTGAACACAGTGACCCGTCCCTACACATTCATTGAGTTCGACACGTGGATGCAGCGGGCACGCAAGCAGTACGCGGAGGGGGGCGCGCGAGCGAGGCGCGCCGGTGCCACCGCCAATCTCGGGGGCCAGCTCGGAGACGTACAGCGGATCATGATGCAGAATATTGATGATGTGCTGCAGAGGGGAGCTGTTTTATCAGGTATTGTATTACTTTAGATTGATTTGAAAGAGACAGGACATACTCTATTGGACATATCACACTACCACAGATCACATAATAATACATATATAGTACAGATGCCTCATCCTATGCTAACTAAATAACAAACGTGTTGTAAATATTGTAAACTTCTTTCTACATTTATTAAAAGTAAAAGCGCCATCTGTGAATGAATATACACTACACACCCATCATCTGATTGCTGATATTTCAACAATTAATCAGTAAAATTACGCAAATTTGATTTACGGGTGCATTATTTCTTTCCCTTCACATAGAATATTTTTTTAAACAATTATATACCTTTTTGATTTTTTTTTAATCTTTTGTTAATTTAATACAACTTCAATAACAAATCGATACATGTGACGTCATCTGTTGATATTTATTTAAACTAATTTTTCTCTGTAAGTGATGAGACCCGATGCTTCTATGCTCCATAATATCTTTATTATAGGATACATTCAACTTTTAAGTAACTTAATATAAAAGAAATACTATTTCTTTTACAGAATTAGACACAAAAACGCAGAAGCTGTCAATGATGTCGCAAAAATACAAAAAGGATGCTACATACTTAAATACCAAATCCATGTTAGTGAAAGTCACCGCGGGAGCCGTCATCATACTAGTGGTTGTGTTGTACTTCTGGGTGCTGTAGGTGTTGTAAGTGCTGTAGACTGTATTTGCCTTTGAGAATTTATTGAACCAAATTTGTTATGGACGTTTTAGTATGTTTGTCATATTGTTTAATTTTTGGTTTGATTATAGCCTATTTTTATTATTTACTTGTTTGTTTATTCGTCCTTTATATGAATTGAATTGTCTCACAAGGTCAAAGGAATTGACAGATTTGTTTAAATATCCATCTCAACTTTGGTGAAATAAAAGAAGCTAAGACTAAAGCGAACTAGATGACTGACATTTTATATAATAAGTGCATTCCATCGCAATAGCTGTCGTGCATGGATTGTAAATGATAATTCTGTATGAATCATTAATGTATAAGATGTTCCTCAAATATTGACCCATACATCCCTTAGTAACACTTGGGACCGTAGGTCCAAAAATTTATATATGTTCAGCATCTCTCATATGTATCTACATCATACCACTTTTTATATATACAATGAATAAACTAACAATATTAAGCGAAATATGCACTGTAAATAAGGAAAATGGATGACACATAATGTAATATTTTAAATGTTTTTATACCTTCTGCTGTCTTCTTCGTATTACATGTTTCTCGCTGTTGAATCTCCTTTGGATTGAACAAGATCAAAATATACATTTTACATATATTTAATTCATCTATCAACTTACTGGACTGTTCTTCATTCATCTTTTTAATGAATAGTGACAACTTTCGCTTAAAAATAAACAAATATGTCATATCCAGTTAATTGTACATTATAATGAAATTCAATGTCTGTTCACATATAATTTTACTGCACAGGTTTTAATGTGGTTATATAAATAAGGAAGTAAAATAACAGAATTTATCTTAAATACTATATGGTTTTAGAGCAATAAGGACTTCTGCTTGATGTAATTTTTTTGTATTTGGCAATATTTTTTACTGTGAGGATGGTGGCGGAGAATTGTAAATGTCTTGTTGATAATTATTGTATTTATTTAAGAATAAACATGTATTCTTTCCACTATAATGGTTGCTTTATTTTTTTTTTACCTCTCCTTTACTGGCACCCACTCGAATACCCAGTGCCCTATTGGACACAGCATATATGTCACAACGAGCTTTACATAAATATTGCTGTACTGAATACGTAGTGAATGGTAACTGGGCTCAGCTTGCTGTGCCAGCGGTCGCAGGTTCGAGTCCCGCTAGGAGCATTTATTTGTGTGATGGGCACTAATGTTTGTAGTCTAGTCATGGGTGTTTATAATATGTATGTATTTAAAGTTATACATGTGTAGTGTATCAACTATCTGGTATCCATAACACAGGCCTCGTAGCTTACCATGGAACTAGATGGTGCTGTATGTTAATGTTGTTTTATTTATATATGATACTAGCGACTAAGCGTTCGTCCTTAGGTATGTTCTAACAGCTAGTATGGAATAGATATCATATATGTAGATATATATGATGAGTTGTTGTGGGTTATATTATAACGTCCTCCAGTGGGAATGAGATAATCTCCTGCGGTAAAAAGTAGCCTGTCACTCTCCAGCCTTCCAACTATCTCCATACAATCACGCCAATCCGTCACTCTGTTCCGACGTAAAAGATGGACAAACACAGTTTCAAATTTATAATATTACTATGGATTGCAGTACAAGAAGTCACATTTTTTTCGCTTTAAAGTTTCTATGGCGAGACATGGCGCCATTTCATTTTCGTAAAAGTTCTCATAAAGATCAAAATATAGCTATTTAATTAGACATTAATCAGCCTGCAATTTAAATTATAACGTCACCCTGTGAGAACGCTATCGCCACCGGGTCTACGAGCAAAGAAAAATTAGTTCAAAAAAATGTCAATAGATGACGTTACATTTATCGATTAGTTATTAAAATTGTGTTAAATTAATTAAAGATAAAAAATTAGATCCCTAACACGTATATAATATACGTTATTAATTAATATGTTAATAATATACGTGTTTTAAAAAATATTCTAAGGGTAAATAACTAATAGGCCCGTAAATTTGCGTAATTTTTTTACTGATTGTTGAAATATCAGCAATCATGATGGGTTTTTACTTTTAGTATATATTTCACAGATGGCGCTTTTACTTTTTATGAATTGTTTATTGTTAAAAATTGTTAAAATCACCTATTTTTTTATTTCGAATACAGAATAAATTTTACAATATTTAACATTAGTTAGTTTGCACATACATATTTATAAAATAAAACAGTTTAACTCTTTGCGACTCAACGACATCTATTATCTAATTAGGCAAACAAAAATGGCCAGAATTAGCGTTGTCCAATTTCTTTATATGGGATGAGACATCTGTACTATTATCGTATTATGTGATCTGTCCCACTGCTGAGCACGGGCGTCCCTTCAATACGAGGAGATCAGGCCATAGTTCACCACATTAAAAATCGTATAGTTGCAGTTTTGAATAATACATTCAAAATAATAAATTTGATTGAACAGCATGATATTCATTAACAATAAATTGCCACAAGAAAATAAGAGAATTTTCCTTCTGCAGATACCTGAGAAAAATGTTTAAAAAATACAGGTGTTATAAAAGTTTTTATTATTAATAAATAAAATGCAAAAGAATCTTAATTTATATATTTTAATAAAATTATTAAACATCACAATCCTCCGATCTTTCTGCTAGGTGTCTTCTAGTAATAGTTCCAACTACTTCATTTATTTTTAATGCTATAGCTGGGCTGTGTACCTATAAAATATAACATTAATTTATTTAGAAAATCCATTTTTTTACCAATCTTGCATCCCCAAAATCTATGTAACTAACCCCATATGTAATTTTCATAACACTTGTATTTTAATGTTTCTGAATAAAAATAATAATAAATATTAATATAATAAATATTTGTCACACTATCTGAGCATATTCATTTATGTAATACACCAAATTAATAAGGATAAATCTTACGCATAAATCATAGTCTAGATATTATACCCTGAAAAACATTATTTATATGGGAAATGCAACCATCAATGTCTTATCAGAGTAAATGATACTGATGAATATTCACTATGTTAACAAAAGCTTGAACACGGAAAGGAACAGGATTAGATTAAGTCATATTTTCAATCAAACTACTTTGGTTTGTGTGGTTTTGTCGCTTTTAATGAGATCCTATTGCCTATTGGAGTTTTTCAATAGCGATAGTCATGTCTGCTTGACGATCATAATGAAGAGACAAATGATTATGTTTCTCACAATTACATGGCTTCTAACTACACAATAAACATCACAAAATAACAACAACACAATTCACACAATCAAGAGATTCTATTTAATAGAAAGTATTTTCCTGCATATAAATATTCTTAATAGTAAACTTACTTGTATTATATAAGCATAAATGACTGGTCTACCCTTCCATTGAATTGTCCCAAAGACCTGGGCTGTATATGGGAGGATAGTATTTTGCAAGGGTGTCTTCATATAAGCCATGGAAACTATGATTCTAGGTCTCTTGGCTATTCCAATTGAATTAATCTAAAAATTATAAATCCAATATGAATTATGACAAATAAATTATTTTATAAGATGCATAATTTAAATCAAGAAACATCTTAAACTTACATCTTTTATGTAAAAGTGTCCATCAATACTTTCAATGATCCCAACAGTTCGAAACTTTATAATTTTTTCAATATTCTCTTTACATTTGACAATTAAATCGTAAATGTTAATATGAGTATAAAAATCTGCCTAAAAAAACTTGCTTTTAAAACTTTTTCAAAAATTTAAACAAGTATTGAAAATATATACTATACCTACCTGTGGAATTTCTTTGGTAAAAGGTTTTTTACAATAATTATCGTTTCTAAAAGAGTTCATAATAGAAAGTTAAAATTCTACTAGAATTATTCTAGTATTATACATGCATAAAATAATAAAGTATTAAGTAAAACTATCTAATGATCCAAAAATGACAAATTGAAATTCACAAATCACAATTGCATTTTTGAAGACCCCGCGAATTTATTACATTTGACAAATGACAACAATAATCACAGATGAATAATGGAGATGAATTTTGTCTTTTTCTCCCGCCAGATGTCGTGATCACTATAGCCCTCAGTATATTGTAAAGCTCTCTAGCGTGAGTAGCATTTTTTTTTTTCATTTTATTTAAACCTACCACCCTACCCTATTACCCTACACCACCTACCCTATTACCACATACATTCTATGGAGTACTAAAATCATACATTACACACAGAATATTTCAAGTAAGAGAAAACCAATCCACCTCACGACTATATGAAATATTCGCAGGAGTACCACAAGGCTCGGTCCTCGGTCCCGTCTTGTACACCCTGTTTACCTCCGACCTACCTCAAAGCTCCGAGATCACAATTGCCACCTTCGCGGATGACACTGCCTTACTTGCCTCGCACAAATGTCCAACACAAGCATCTCGCATTTTACAAAGTAGCTTGAATGAAACAGAAGAATGGCTAGCCAAATGGAGAATTGCAGCCAGCGTATCCAAATCAGTGCATATAACGTTTACATTATGCAAACATGATTGTGACCCCGTTACCCTAAACGGCAGCCAACTCCCACATCACGAGTCTGTAAAATATCTGGGCATGCATCTTGACCGAAGGCTCACATGGAGAAAACATGTCGAAACTAAAAGGGAAGAAATGAACCTGAAATACAGAGGTCTTCTCTGGCTTCTTGGAAGAAACTCAACACTGGCGATAGATAACAAACTCCTAATATATAAGACCATTCTAAAGCCAATCTGGACATACGGCATCCAACTTTGGGGATCAGCCAGTACCTCCAACATAATGAAAGTGCAAAGGGCACAAAATTATATACTAAAACAAATATCCAATGCACCGTGGTTTATCAAGACTACAGAAATCCATGAAATCCTCAATATTCCTATGGTCAATGAGGAGATAAAAACACATGGCGAAAAGTACAAATCCCGGCTGCTAAGGCATCCGAACAAACTAGCAGGACAACTTACTATCCCGGAAAGCATCCGCCGATTAAAAAAGCGGCGTGACATTTTCGACCAGAACAGTCAGAAAGAAGAATGACTTTGTAAGATGTAGATAGGGCAGACCCCACTGGGAGTAGAGCCTAACATGCCATTTAACCATCTCATCTGCTCATAGTCGGAAAGACTGATCGCAAGAAATACCAAAAAAAAAATTTTATTTAAAATTTAATTTAAATTACATATTGTGCAGTGATGCAAGGAAAATTGATATCATTTGTTCCCAAAAGACAATAACTGAAGAAATTGTTGGCTAAAGCAATATGACAATCATAACCAAAATTGGCGAAATCACAATCTTCATATTTAAGGCTATGTGGACAACATCTTAAAGAAAGTGATTTTACAACTCTAAGTAGTCTACAGGTCTATCCTTTTATTTTTTGTACTTTTTTTAACATATTAATTACAGAGTTTCATTCATATTTTCTTCCCCCATTTTACCCCCTTATGGGATTGAACGCAATTTCCGAAAAATGTTAAAACACATTTTTATTGGATTATATTGAAGAGCATTAATACCAAGTTTCAAGTAATTCTAGTTATAAATAATTTTTTGCCCATATAACTTTATCACTCCTTAAATTCTAACCCTATACGGAATGAATTTCTTTCTTCAGCTGGTCTAACTTCCAGGTACAATACATTTCACATGTACGATGCGAAGATGTAAGATGAAACAAAACAGAATATAAATATTTATTTCTATTTTCTAATCCATAGTCCACCACGTTGGCCAAGTGCGGTTTGGTAGACTTCACATGTCTTTCGAAAACATGCTAGGTCTTCTCAGATATGCAGGTTTTCTCACGATGTTTTCCTACTTAGTTATTCCGCGTTAATTAACACGCTTAAAGTCTTCTTTGACTAAGTAGCTTCAAACAAAGTTTACTTGGATACCTCAACAGGTATCCAAGTAAACACACGCTCAATGTCTGCTTTGGCAAAAAACTTAGGAACAAAGTTCTCTTTGATAAAGTTCAGTTTTATTGCACACCGACGTCAAAGTGGGCTTTTATTGCTCGTTTACACGATCAAAGTAGTTATCAAAACTACTTCGTCAAAGCAGGCTTTAAGAAAAGTAGAACACAGTCCAAGCCCATTTTGATTAACATTTTTTTTTTATGGGACTAAGGGGGCCAACGGGCAGGAAGCTCACCTGCTGGAAAGTGATCACCGCCGCCCATGGACATCTGCAACACCGCAGGGCTTGCAGATGCGTTGCCGGCCTTTAAGGAAATAATACGCTCTCGTCTTGAAGGTGGCCAAGTCGTAGCGGTTCGGAAAGACCGCCGGCGATAGCTGGTTCCACAGAGTGGTTGTGTGGGGCAGAAAATGTCTTAAAAATCGCACTGTTGTGGAACGCTGGACATCGAGGTGGTGTGGATGGAATTTAATATTTTGGCGCGATGTCCGATGATTAACATCTACATCAAAGTCATGGATGACAAATAAAAATCAAAGTGCACTTTGATAATTGATTGCTCGTTAAATATGATTAAAGTTACGTCAAAGCAACGACTACTTAGCCCGAGCCATGTTGCGCGTCTGTTGTATTTTTTGTGTCGGAAATTCAGGAGTCTCAAGCAATGTGTTCGCGGGTCACGGATGTGGTCGCTACTGAAGTAAATCGCGCGATCGTTTTCTCAAGTCAGACGTATTTGTCTAACGTGTTGACTGAAAGTGTTCGCCTTGCGTGAGGTGTCTATCGGGCTAAGTAGTCAGCGTCAAAGTCATTAAAACTGATTTGTTAAAGTACTTTGATCGTGTCAACGCGGCTTTACTAAGTTACTTGTCAATTGTAAGTTAACTCTGACAGCTATAAGTTAAACCAAGTGCATGCAAGGAAGTTTTGTTATAAAATTTATTTATACGTGTTATTAGTAAATTTATTAAAATTTGTGATACATAACTAAGTAATGCCAGCAACATTAGTAGATTTGCGACCCGATAGGCGCCTTTTAGATCATGAATTTGAAGGATATAAGTTGAATTTGCAAAATCTCCCACATTTCTGTCATAAATTGCCCTCACCGGTGGATAAACTTTATCCAGACGAAGTTCAGTATTCTTTCGTACACGCTAAACTCTTTGCACTTCATAACCATCTTGTATTAGATTTCTGGGATCATCAATACAACTATTATTATATCGATAACCAACAGCAAGTATGTAATGTAACTTTTGATAATATAAATAACACATTCCAAAGCGCAGTTGTTTATAAAGTGCCTATAAATGTTGACAGAAAGCCTGGTGACTTTAATCTCTGCCTTACCTTCCCATCTGATCACATAGCAGTGGTAAGTGATGGAACTGGTTACCTGCATATTATTGATACTGGAATTAGGAATAGACCTGCAAGTGACAAACAAACATGGCAAACATTATATTCAAGCTTAGCTCTTGGAGATGTAAAAAAATTTATTATGATAGACATAAAAATGCAAGAAAGAGACAATATTGAAATATTACATTGCTTATTACAATCTATTGAGCAAAGTGAAAAACATTTCAACTCAGTGCTAACATGGGTATCATATGGCAATGATGGTCAAACATGGAAGGAGTTATCAGTTAAACAAGTTAAAGGAAAAGGTATTGTTCATTATGCAGCTCTTGAAACAAGTTGTTCTGCCTTATATGTGGCTTCTGATAATTTGTTTAAGTTTACATCAGACTCTGAAAAGGATATTGTAATCAAATCTGTAGAAGAACCTAGACAGATTATTTACACCTGGCTCCAAACTAATGATGATATATCAATAACTCTCAAATTACAAAACAACTTTGATAAAAAACTTCTCTTTGTTAATGTTACACCTTTGTCTGTTAAAATAAGTTATGGAGGGAAAGAATTTGTCCAGGGTCGATTAAAGCATAAAGTGGACAGTGAACTGACAACATGGCATATTCAAGATAGTGGCCAAGTAGATGTTCTAATAACTAAGTCGGAAAGCTTGATTTGGGATGAATTAATTGAAGGTGGTGACAAAAATGGGGAGCAAATACTAGATGCAAGTCTAGTTGATGAGGTTCATAAGAGACTGGCTCATTTGTGTTCTGAAACAGAAGTAAGGGAAACACAAACAATACCTGGTCTAAATACTCAAGAACTTGAAGAATGTGATGCAGTTTCAGAAGAAGATACTGTTTTAGGTGAGCTTTAGAGGATTTATTTTATATTAGGGGAATCCAAGAGGAGATTTTGGGATTTACTCAAGCGCAGCAGATTAACATAAGGAGATGGATACTTTGCACTCTGTTAAGTACCTCTACCATACATAAGTCCTCTGTATAAGGTGTGGTGGGCTAATTACATGCTAAGAAGTGTACAATTCCATTTCTAGAAGCCCAAGAAACAAAACTCATCCATAAACACCTTAATCTGTCACAAGTATTTCCAAGTTATTAAAATATTTTTTGAATATTTTGAATGAATGCCCTAGACATGCAACCTTATAATATAGAGGTATGTATGGTGGAGGTACCCAACAGAGTACAAGGTATCCCCCCTTATGTCAATCAGCCTCGCTTGAGTAAATCCCTCTTAGTACTATAAGCTTTATTGTCACATTTCTCAGATATACTAATTGTATACATATAATTTAATTATTACACATAATATTATTTTCTTTGAACATACTTTTTAACAATTTTTTTTTTATTTCAGTACGAATGGATATAACAAACCATGAAATAACACACAGAGTACCACTAAGTGTACATCAGTACTTATTTGATATTAAGTTAGAAACCCATGAAGTTCCAGCTTTAGCTCTTAGACATGATGTTGATGCTTGTATTTGGCAGCCATTTGCACAACTCATTAATTCAGAAACATGGCCTATTAAGCATCATGGGACACTTATGGCTTTTGGATATGTGCAATCTTCAAAACAGAACAAAAAATTTGTCACTTGTTCACCAAACTTTTCTTATAGTGTTGTCTGTGAAGCTACTCGTCACATATTTATTTACAAGAGTTCAGCAAATCAAGATTGCCAGTTACGGAAGAGAACGGCCGGTGTGATGAAGAATATCAAAATTGGCCAACAGCATGTAGTCAATATTGATAAATATGGAGAAGTTTTAGGAATACATGCAACTAATGACTACTTGTTTATACTGACTGAGACCAATTTTGTAGCTATAGGTGTGTAAATAATAATATGATTTATATAACAAGTGATTTTATTTCTTAACTTAATGAATTTTCTGGTTTATTATTAATTTATTTATGGAAATTTATTTTTCATCCTCATTTTCGCTCCCACTACTGATACTTTCTTCTGAAGAGTATCCAGTTGTAAACAAAAGATTCTTGGGTCTCTTCTTTTTATCTTCTTTAATTTCCTTTTCTATTTCCATTTTTTTCTCTTCTGCTATGATTTCTGTGAGTGTTTTATGTCGTTTTTGCTGATTGCTATCATCTATATGTGGCCTTTTCTCACTACCTGTGACAACATTGTCTGTTGGTTTGTTCTCATTATTTTTGGTCGAGTTTTCTACTGTCTTACTTTCATCTTTCTTGTTGTCATTTGTTTTATATTCAAAATCATCGTCTGAAAGAAATACAGAAATTAATATTTTACAATATAGATTTATAACTTTTAATTTCTTTTAACTTAACAATATTTTACCTCTTGTTATAATTTCAAAGTTGTATGCATGATCTTTTAGCACTATAAATATAATAGGAAATTCTAAAATACATTTCCCAGACAAATTTTCAGCTAATGATTCAGTAGTATCAAGCTCAAAAAATTTCTTGCTAGAACTCCTTAGTTTTTCAGCTGCAATATAATAAAGCTTTTGTTATTTATTTTTGTCATTCATTTTTATATATTACAGATAAGGAAAACAATAAACTACAAATTTTATGAGATAAAATGTCAATATAAATTACCTTTCAAAAGAACTTTCACACCACTAAATCCCACAGACTTATAGTACACAAGATCCTTGGAGCCATCGAATGGTGGAGCATCTGGATTCAAATATTTATCTAAAAGATGTGACAATTTTTTTTGTTCAGGGCACCTTTCATCCACAAATTTCAATGGATTTGAATCTACATTTGGGAATATCCACTCGACTCTCCAATAAATAACATTTGTTTTGAAATGATACTTTGTGGTGTTCAATGAATGTCTTGAGAAATGTTGAGTGAGAAATTGTAAAACTGTACCTCGCTTCCTTGCTGCCATCTTAAGTTTGTATAGATGCTAAAAAGGTACATATTTAAATTAGATAGGTACGATATTTCAAAATAATTAGATCACTATAAATAATTTAGTATTTGCTTACTGTAGGTAATTCTTTATCGATTCTAGTAAATCTTTTTTTCTCATTCCTTTTTACAGAATAAACAAATCGTGCACACTCCTCTAAAAGTCTGTAATCGCTAAGTAAATCAGTATCTGTAAAATCCTCCATTCTTATAAATTTAGTACGATCTCTTACGCCATTACAATCTAATTCTTCTTTGTGGATTCTAACACAAGAAACACTGCATGTTTTTACTTCGCATTTTGGACATGTATAAATTGCCATTTTTGAACCACATACTTCACAAGGGCCAAGTCTGTAATGTAAATTGTAAATTTTTTATTAAATTTTATTCATGTATTTAAAAATGTTTAAGTTAAACAATGGCTTGATAGTATATAATAGTACCTAGGTGGAATATTCTTTTTACAATCTGAGTCGCTATCAGATGTCGAAGACATTTTCAATTTCTTTTAGCAAAATCAATCTTCATATAATAATAAATTCATGTAATAAATCAGTATTTACAAACCACACGGTAAGCACATTTGGTATTTTATCATAAACTATCAATGTCAATTGTCATTTGTCAATATTTTAATTGACAATGTTGGTTCTTTTTATAGTCAAAAAAAGTTACACAGGCTACCTATATATTATAATAGGTACATAATCTTTGGTAAGTACATATTCCAAATCAATTACTTAAATCCATTGATGTGAAACTCTAGATTTAATGATAAATTATTATTTAGGTTATGAATGTATTTGCACTAAATTCAGAAAATCGAAGTTTCGAAAACTATGATCATTGGCATCTTATTTATGACAAAATGGAAAAACGTTTAATGTCAAGCCGCTGTCAATTGATGTCTGTCAACAGTCAACATTTTTTTGTTTGTAATCAATAATCATTCATATACGTTCGTAAATTGTAATAGAAAACTAATAAATAATTGAGGAAACTAAAAACAATTAACTAATAACCTTTATTTATAAAATGGGGACTGAAATTCAAGGTGATGATTGGGACCTTCCATGTTCTGATGATGAATTATCAAAGACTGGAATTTATATTGGCAAAAATTGGATGCCAGATCCAGCTGAACTTGAAGAGTTGTATAAAGCAATTGAAAAATCTGGTACATTAACATTGGAATGGAAATGTCCTGGGAGACGTGCTCCATCTCCAGTGCCTGTGAGTAAAGAAAATCATCCAACAGTGCCTTCATCTCCAATTCGTGAAGAAAAATCTGATTTTGATTTTATGGATGAAGTCAACTCCTTAAGATTAAGGGTTCGCAGGGAAGGTGAGGATACTCTTCGTGGTTCAGCAAAGAAAAAGACCACATCTTTTGATGGTATACTTTCTAATATGATAAGGCATAAAAGGATAGAACAACTAGAGAAGCAAGCAAATACACCTACTAGCTCACCTTCCAGCAGTGGTAGTTGAAATATACACTTAACATATAATTAGATAAAAAGAAAAAAAATCTTAATTTATTTGAATTTTATCTACACAATTTAAATAAACTTGACTGGTGTACTTTTAAAAACTTTCCATATTTACTAATAATAAGTAGCGATATATGTATTACTAAAACATACTTTATAATATTTAGTATAATAAAAAGTAAATTATTTCTCAGAAAAAGGTTTATTTTTTAACTTACAATATATTTACAATTTGCACCTTACTATATTTTTGTTATTAAACAAATAAAACTCACATTTAATATATTACACAACATTAACTTTATGAAAAAATTGTTCACGCACTTAGATGAGCAGATTTAGGTTTTAATAAATGTTCATTTTCTTCCATAATCTGGCGACAACTATCCATATTGTCACTAATATTATCTAACTGCCAATGTTTCCTTAAGAGTGCTAGCTGAAGGTCAAACTTTCCATGGCGAATACATTGAACTCCAACACAATGTGCAGAGGTCTTCAATTGTATGCCTAAATCGTGTATTAGGGTCCATAAATATTTTTCATATTCATTTACGCATTGTATTTCTGAAAATTAAATAACTGTTAATAGTTATGAAAGAAGTTACCAACTAATATTAAAGAAAAAATTGAATCGATTGACAATGAAACACAAAGATACGCAAATTGCAATTTTTTTAAATATATTAGAAACTTAAGGTATCAAACCATCAATATTTGATTGATTTTAATTTCACTTTACCTAATGTAAAATTGGGTGGATCAAAATGAACACATTTAATTCCATAAATGACAGGTAATTTGCTATTTGCTGGCCGTATCAAACCTTGTGATGCTAGCTCATAAGTTGTCTGTGAATCCATATGTAGACCAGATAATCTGTAACAATTTTTTTTGCATGATATAATAATCTTCAGTTAGAATTATTTTTATAAGAAATTGTTTATCATTTGCTTTTCTACACTTACTGATACATTGTTTTCTGATGTGCAGCTTGCATATGAGCAACAACTTTATCTATCTTTTCTCTTGTCACATGACCAAATGTAGTCTTCTCTACAGTTTTTCCATGCCAAAAATAAGTATCTGTTGCTTTACCAAGATATCCATGTACTTTGAAAGCTCTTGTTAATCTTGCTGTGTTAATTTGAAAAGTGAGTCTAGTACCATCATTAATCCCTAATACTAGAAAGAAATAATTACATAAATAGTAGTCATACATTGTAATTCAAAAGAAATACAATTGTACATAGGTTATAGGTAGAGAAAGATATTTTAGAAAATAATACACACATAAAACTCCACTACTAAATAGTCCTAGGTGAGTTGCCCAGCTACATCTAAAGTCGCTTGGCATATATCTTGGTCCACATACTAAAGGATTATCTGCATAGTTAGGAAGTAATCTAACTTCCATTGGGCCATTTGAGGCGCCAACAATTTCAACTCTTTTCTCTAGAGGCCTATCTGGTAGAGCATTAAGATCTAGAATAAATTACAAATATTAACATTTTAATAAAAATATTATTAAAACAAATTAAAAATAATTTCTACTAATCTAACCTTTACATAATTTTGTTACAATAATATGTTGTACATGCCGCACTGATACACAAGAAGGTTTGTAAACACAAATCAGACCATTTAATGTTTTGTAAGCGAGGGCAGGATCCACAAATTTAACCATTTTTACTATTTAATATTTATTTATTATAACCGAAAACAAAACTCGTATTTTGCTGGTGTCAACATAAATGACATTGACAGGCTGATAATTTTTCTGACAGATTATGGAAGTTGTTTTTTTTTCAACCGTCAACGTGACATTTGAATTCAATATGACGAAAAAATTTTAAACAAAATAGTATTGTCCTCATTAATATATATGTAGTATTATTATTATTGATTATTTTATACCTATTTATGCGTATTATAACATTCACTATTTCTCATTTGTGTCTTCCTCACCATATGTGACACTGTCAGTGTGTTTTCAACCTGTAAAACACAGACCAGTGCTGAAAAGCATAGACCAAGAACAACACTGAAAAGCCTGCCTATGCATACGATAGCGCGCAAATTGCTCTTTTTCAATTTGCGCGCTGTCGGCGCGTTTAGTGCCCGATGGACATTTATGTCGTTTGTTGGTATTAATACAAACGCAAGCAATTGCCATTTATATTTTTTAACATCACAGAGTATGCGCTGCCGACGTAAGTTTATAATAAGCTAGCGATCACCCTCGCTTCGCTGGGGTTCGTCTCTAGGTACACTTTAACGGTTAGTATGAAATATAAATCTTTGAATTTCTCGGTTTTTCTGTACTATAATATGCATTTAAACATATAAACCTTCCTCTTGAATCACTCTATCTATTGCTGAAAACTACTTACATTAAAATCCGTTGAGTAGTTTAAAAGATCTAAGCGTACAGACAGCGGAAGCGACTTCATTTTATACTATGTAAAGATGCGTTGTTGGCGAGTTTGAAGTTTATCAGCACAAAATACGCACGGAATATGCCTGGTAATTTTTCACGACTAGTTTTTACGAGTGCTTGGGAACCACAAACCTCAAAGCATATTCATCCCATTAATTAATATGCGAAATTTTGGATGAATGGATGTTTGTTACTCAATCACGCTAGAATGACTGAACAGATCTGGATTCTAGATGAAATTTTGCACTGAGTTTTAGATTATAGTCTTGAATAGTACGTAGGTATTATATTAAACAAAAAATGTACGGTTCACGTGGGATAAGTTTGTTTATATTTTTCATAGAGCAAGGGATTGACTACTACCGATGGACTATAAGGGATTCCATATAACCGTTAAACGTAGGTACCTAGGGACGAACCCGTGCGAAGCGGAGTTGACTCGCTAACTAGTTATAGTATACTAGCATTTCCCGCGGCTCCGCCCGCGTTCAGATGACCAAACCCCAAATTCTTAGGTTTTACATATTAGTATGCTCTTACATTGCAGTTTTTGTAGTTTTTCTCAGAAATGAGACATTTTCCCGCAGTAAAAAGTATCCTATAAGTTGACCTGGATAAACAGCTATCATCATACTCAATTTTATCAAAACCCCTCCAGTGACAACAGACAGACAGACAAAAATTCTAAAAACTACAGATTTGGCTTCTGTATCGATAATAATGTTTATTTCAACAAGATTTTCCAAAAAATATTTAATGTACAGATTCGGCTTAGTTATGTTATAGTATATTATACACTTGAAGACCCCGTCATAAAAGTGTGCACGAACTACTTACTCTTTATACACTCTTAACTCTTTAACATGTATGATGCCTAGCATCCAAAGAGTATAGTTATAAACCTAGCATCTCTATATAGTTTGTGATGTATGATCATCTGGTACTTAAGATAACGTCACAAGGGTTGCCGTTAGTAAATAATAGCTCCTTGGAAGTCAGCTAAAAAGTGTCGTGACGGTAAAAATATTATACATTTTTCTTCTAGCTCTCATAAGCCAAGAGTGCCGAGTAATGCGCGATAAGGAACTTCGTACCAAAAACTGTATTTATGTTTATGGGATGTAATCCAACAGGGTAATATAGGAGCGTACCTATTGTAAGTTTAGCCCTTTATAAGCCTTTTGTATCCTTCATGTCCTTAAAATATTTTTATTTAGTTTGATTTCTCATCACTTTTTTATTTAGAAATACAAGCTCAGTCCTCGAGTGACCACGTTCATATACATTTTTTTTTAAATTTTGCAATGATATCTTTTTTCTTTGTTTGATTATCATTATTATATAATAGTAGTATAATTTTAAATTTATTGTGATAAACTATTTATTTAGAAATAAATAAGTAATTACATATAGAAAAGATTAAAATAAATTTCACTGTATACAAAAATTACTATTTTAGTAGAAGTAAGGACTTAGTATAGCAACACAGTTAATTTGCAGAAAAAAGATTATTGTCTGGTTAGTTTGACATTAGTCTGTGGTGTCGTGCAATGGCCGATTGAAAAGATTGTCTCAGTGGCGTATCGCGGCCTTTTCTATTAAGTTCTTCCAAAAGTACTTTAATAAATAAACTGACTTAGAAAAACAGTGTCGTTTAATGTGGAATAATTTTGGTGTTATTGACTGTGTTAAAGAATTTAGTGTAGGCGTTTGAAAGTCATTGTTGGGCATTTTAATTTCGTGTGAAATTTTGTTATTGGTAAGTTGGCATATTATAGGTATCTTGGTTTCAATTGTTCAATTCCTATCACACAATGCTTATTGTGACTGATGTTTGTTCTGGTGTTTCGCGAATAATCTAGCATTCGACGACGATATACAAGGCACTGCCAACCCGTTCACAACTCATTGCTTTACATCGCATCACGCAACTTGTGCCAATTTGCATTATTCTATCACTTTTTATGTTTTTTTTTCTTTTTTACTAAATCGGTATCATACCACATTGTTCAACGAAATTTGGATTGTGATAAATATTTATGTATTATTAGTAAACCAGAAAAGTTAACCAATGCTTACCTACATAGAATAAAAATAAAATATCATTTATATTTTGTGTAAGTTATCATCATTATAGTAACAAATAATATTACTCCCATATTCTTATAGGATTAGCTAAACCACTTAAATATCTTTAATGTAAACTTAAATGGTTCCAATATTATAATTATTATCATTTCTATTTATACATATTATTTTAATTAAATCTAGGCAAATTACAAAGTTTAAAATTCCATGCATTATATTTTCAATATTTTTTTTCATACTGAAGAAATATATTTTAATTTAACATATTCCACAATATATTTCTTATTTAACTTATTTTTTACCTGCTTATATCAATTTTAATCATAATACTACATAAAAAATAAAAGCAAAAAACTTTGAGCATTTTAATCTTAATTCGTAACATTTGCTATAAATACACTACACCTTTTTTATATCATGATTTTTTTATAATATTTTTATACATCAGTTGTGGTAGTTATATTATAAAAGTATACAAAATTAAACTAAATTAAGTTTCAGACTATGTAGGTAATACAGAGATTATGGATACAAAAATAAATATATATGTACATATATTCAACAACATATAAAATAATCATTTTACATAATGCCAGAAAGAATCTGAATTTAAAAATATAAATAACTTAAATATGTTACTTGGAAGGCATTTGATAAAAGCTTAGTTTCATTTTGTTGTAAGTTTTTATTGGAATATTTAAAAACTGTTCCCAGTATATCTTTCTATTATTATGTTATAAATTTGAATAAAGTACAAGACATGCATTCATTAGAATGACTTCATACTTATTATATTTAATATTTATTAATAAACAATAAAATCCAAAATGTCTGCATACATATACACTATACATATAGTACTTTTATTCTCTATCCAAAAAGTCAAAGATCTCTTCACTGAGAGATACAGAGGCTTATACACTGAAAATAGAAATAATTATTTCATGCAAATTATTAAATAAAGCATTTGAATTAATCATGTAAGAATCAATTTGAATTCCCTGACATGACATCCCTAAATCATTTACATATTTCCACACCTTTTTAGATGTGATTGAGTAACAAACATTTAAGTATCTTTAAAAACTTTTTATTATTGACTGTTTTTATTATATTTTTGTTCAAAGTTAAAAGTTTTTGCCTTCAACCTTTTTTTTAACATTGGGATAATGCATTTAGGCATCCCAAATAACCACTTACATATACACATAAAAGGTCGTTATTTGGAACTTACCTGACAGAAAAGCCAGTTTTATCCACTTAAACCCAACCCTCCCCTCTCTTAATGAGGTTTCGCAGGATCTTACGCTTACGCACTCAACCACGACGCCATGACGGCTAGCCTGGCGAGGAAGACATTCATTCAGTAGCTCCTACGGTCCTCCCTGTCACCTGTATGGGCTCCCTGTCACCTACCCTATCCAAAAATACCACCCCCTCCGCAAGGGGCCGCGTCCCATGTACTAAACTGCAGCAATTTTAATCCTAATTTCTCAACATTAATGCTTAAATGTAAACAAAAAACTTTTTAAATAAAACCCTAACTACTTCCTCAAAGCATACCGTAGTGCAATCAGACCACATGTGTCAACTGATATCCAATGTTTGTTTTAAAAGTTCTTCACGATTTTTTTTTACTTACGAAGTTTACAGAGAAAATAGATTGAGAATTATGTTTTATAATATGATTGTTATATCACAATGCAATGCAAAAACGGAGACTGCTTTTTATTCATTACGGCGCGGCGGATGAAAATTTGTAGTCGATTAATGCGGTGTTACCTGTAGGCTGTATATAACCTTGTGAGTGGAATCGACACTATTTATGCACCGTCACTTTGATTTCCCTCGAGATGAGATGTCTTCAGCTCATTCCAAGGAGCCTAGAATCTAGATCAAGGACCTAGATGGCCCTATTATGAAAATTATAGTCATAAACATACGACAACAGTCGTTAAAGGAAATAGTTTTATTGTTTGTAGATCGAGATTATTGGCTTTATTTTGGCAATAAAATGCTATTGAGGTTTTTGGCAGAGAACAAAAGCTGAGTCAACGGTGACGTAAACTTCTTATCGCAGCCGAGTAAATTAAATGTTTGCTAGTTTTATATATACATTGTAGTTGCGTTGTTTATAATTATAGCTCGTATTGTGAAAT